AGACCCCTCAGGCACCTAAAAAGTTGCCTAATTCCATCATTTTCCACCAATGAGTTACTGGCCCTCCCAAATAACTCACATCTTTGTCAGTGAAGCTGAGTGCTCCCACATCTCTTCCTTCATGGTGCCCTTTAAGATTAATGGTGCCCTTTAAGATAAAAAAAAATCTGAGATTAAAGTCAAAATTCTGAGAAAAAAAGGAACAATTCTGACTTTAATCTCAGAATTCTGACTTTTTTCCCATAATAAACTGAAATAATACTTCAGTTTAAATAAGTTTAAAAAACTTTTTTTCCACCAGTGGCCTTAATTCTCTCCCATACTGCCCTCTTTCACTCCTCAAAAAATTATTAAAAAGGATTTTCTGCCATATAGGCAGAAATCATTTGCACGTTTGTGTCAGGGGTCACTTTTTAAGAAGGTTTATTTCATAACAGCAGTGTAAATACTTTAATGTCATGTGAACCCCAGTCGGCCTCAGCAGATGGCAGCTCACACTGAGCCTGGTTCTGCAGGAAGTTTCATCCTGTTAAAAGGGAGTTTTTCCTCTCCACTGTCGCTACAAGCATGCTTAGTATAGGGGATTGCATTTGAGTCGATGCAATCAACTGGTTTTCCTTAGATAGAAAACTTTGAATCAATTTGACTGTATGATCTGGTTGAACTGTAAAGTGCCTTGAGATGATGTGTTTGAACTGGTGCTATAGAAATAGACTGAATTCTCTTCCCAACTGGTTTTATATCCATCTTCCCATTATCTCTGACCAGCCTTTGTTTACAACAATTGAATGCAATGGAGATATAACTCATTTTTAAAAGATGAGCCTAATCAAGATACAATATAATCAGGAAGTTATGGGGATTGTTGGGTTAGTGATTAGAGCAGTGTGCTTGTACTCTGAGAAGGTTGCAAGTACCCAGTTTGATCCCCACAGCCTGCACTCTGGGTTTCTGAGCAAGACCCTTAACCCCACACTGCTCCCTGGGCTCCGCACAATGGCAGCCCACTGCTCCCCAAGGGGATGGGTGAAATGCAGAGTGAATTTCCCCATTTTGGGGCAATAAAGGGATTTACATTGACATTTTAAAAAAGTCTTCCAAATAAGATGCTTAAAACTAATTGAAAACAGTACCTCTTTAATAGTAAACTGAAAATGTTAATAGGTGGTATATGCATAATTCTATCCAAATCAGTATTCTTGATGATTTTCTCATGCTGAAACACATACATGTACTTTAGGACAGCAGTTTTTGGACTGTAATGGGAAGCTGGAGTATCCTGAGAGAACCAGCTCAGAAAAACTCCCATGCAGCATCATCTGTGCAGTGTCCACAGGGCCTGCAGTAAAATGGTCCAAGAGCATGTGTACATACTGTGAGGATGCCTTCCTGCTTACCTG